CCCCCAGAATTTTACTTTTTTTTTAATATTTCCCAAATGATGTTTAACAGAGCAAGGAAATTGTCACAGTATGTCTGATAATATTTTTTCTTCTGAAGAAAATCTTATTTTTTTATTTCGGCTAGAATAAAAGCAGTTTTAAATTTTTTAAACACCAATTTAGGGACAAAATTATTATATAGTCACATCACATGATTAGATTGTTTATTAAAGATTAAAAGCATATTATACAATATTATTGTATTGAATTATTTATACAATGATGACCGTTTTATTTTATATTTAACTGTTCAGTTTTTGTATTATTGTTACACTCCCAATGAAAACCACAAATAACTGTTTATTTAACTTTAAACCAGCGACCTTCTTAACAAAACTTTCACTCTCTTGTGGTTAAACTGACTATTGCAGATATGCACATTGAGATGTCAATGCTAAAATGATATATTGTGTTGCCACATTCTTCCACTTTATTTCACACACACATTTAAAAGCTGTAGGCAAGCGGAAAGCAATCAGCAGTACGAGCGAAGATTCGCCCACAAGGAATCTGTAATCAAAAGCTCTGCTTCTGTAAAAGCCATTACATGAGAGAAAGACAAACACAAAAGAAAACTACAGCAAATCATCCACATGCACACCCAGAACAACAGCAGCAATCAGTTTAAACGCTGTTTTCCTGATTTTAAACCAGTGCTACCGATTTCTTTTTGAAACATGAAGGAACGTGAAATATAAGAGATGAACAATAAGAGCCCTCAAATTAACCTAGTTCAGTGTTATGTTTTGTTTTAACAAGTGGGTTTTGACCCCAAAATAGGCCAAAAATATGTTCTGATATGGTCACAAACACTTGAGGAAAAAACTAAAGTACATCCAGGAGGTTGTCGTCACAGAATAAAGCCTGTCAGGTTTATCAGCAGCCCGACGCAAACTGGAGTCAACCATCCTGGATATACTTTATCTTGATTATTATGTCACAAAACATTGTTCTTTAATAGTCATAATAGTTTAGTAATTCTTTATAAATGCAAAGCTGACAGAAAGGAAAACAGCTATTGGAGTTTACACTAACTCTTGCATTATTCAGTCACAAGATGGCGCCAAACTGTCAAAAACGCAAAGCTGAAAGAAGCGAAATTGACTGGATCAAGTATAGACGCCTATGTTGTTTTTGTTTTGTTTTTTTGTTGTTTTTTTGTTGTTGTTGTTTTTGTTGATGTTTCTTTGTTTTTGTATGATTCCAATTTATGTACCTTTTTGCATATTCTAATTTTAAAAAAAAGTACCCTGCTGAAAAATCCAGCTTAAACCAGCCTAGGCTGGTTTAAGCTGGATTTTTCAGCAGGGACTGTACTATAATACTAATAGAAGTACTGTATTAATGCTTTTTTTTTTTTTTGAAAAATTAAATTAGACGAATTAGAGGCCAACATGGACAAGTACAGTAAGAGCTGGGTGATTTATGATAAAAAAAATCTCATCACAATATGAAGTCATCTCATATCTTGATAATGATATAGGACCATTTCAGGTAATTCAACCAATTAATAGTTTATATACATTAACAACATGGAAAGGACTATTCTTTTTACATTTTAAAGAGCTCAAATTATTCCCAGAGATGGGTTGTGGCTGGAAGGGCATCTGCTGTTTAAAAACATGCTGGATAAGTTGGCGGTTCATTCCGCTGCGGTGACCCCGGATTAATAAAGGGACTAAGCGGACAAGAAAATGAATGAATGAATGCTCAAATTATTGCTCATTCATATGTGATCATGTTTCTCACTTTAGTTTGAACTTCAGGGCAAATGTTTGACTAAAAATGAAGAAATAGAAAATAAATATTAATGAAACATAAAACACTTTTCAAAAACGAATGATTACAGGCCCGATATAAAATACCACAAAATGTAAACACTCATACTTTCAAGACCAACTTTCTAACGATGCATGTTTCTGTCTTAGTATAGTGTGTAATATTGTGCTGATATAAATGATGAAAAGGTAACCTACTATCATAAACAAATGTATTTTGCTACACCATAAGCGATGCATACTATGAAACGATAGAATTTTTATTATTTTTTTGCATACAATATACACCGTTATATTCCACAGCCCTAGTGCAATGAAAGCAAATTTAACTGTAGTGGAGGTCAAAAACATTTGGCAAAAAATAAAAAAATAAAAAATCAACTGCTGGCAAGAATAAAGTGATTCTAGCCTGATTTAAGTGTACTAACATCTTAACATGCATTCAAGTGAGGTTTAGCAAGTAAAAGAATGAACACTGACATCTGCTGATGAACAGTAGAAATGTCACGTCTCTTTTCTGAAATATTTAGAGCAGTGGTGTCCTGCATATTTTAGTTTCAACCCCAGTTAAACACAGCTGAACCACCTAATGAAGTTCTTTCTAGGTATACTAGACTTCCAGGCAGGTGTGTTGGTGGAAGTTTGAGCTAAACTATGCAGGACACCGGCCCTCCAGGACCGAGTTTGAACATCCCTGATTTAGGGTGATTATAATTTAAGAGTATTAAAAAATGAATATTATAACTGAATGATAAATTAATGATCAATACAATTGAATGAACAGTGATTATTTATTCATTATAGGTTAAGAAAATTCAGCTTTTTTGTTTTTCTTTAGTGAAAAGTCAGGGAGTTTAAATTTGGCTTGGAGTGGCCACATAACCTAACCTAAACATAATCAAAACACAAACCCCTGCTCACCCAAAAAAATCTTACTACATCGTGTTTAATACATTAATGACTCTAAATCATCAAAATGAATAAAATGTTGAAATCTCTTGAACAATAGTATTAAAAGAATCATGCAAATTTTTTTAATTTTAGCAATTGATACCATGAATATTGTATATGTTGTAAATATAATTAATATTTATTCATTATGGATTATAAAAAATCTTTCTTTTTTTTTTTTTTTTTGTCAGTGAAAAGTCAGGGAGTTTGACATTTCTCTTGGAGTGGCAACCCTGCTAACCTAACCTAAACATTATCAAAACACTAACCCCTGCTAACCCCCCCCCCCAAAACAAACTGCATCATATATAAAACATGAGTGACTCTAAATCATCAAAATTAACTAAATGTTAAAAATCATGTTAAAACTTTACATTTTAGAGACTGATACAAAGAATACTGTATATGTTGTAAACATTAATATTTTATTATATGAATATTAATATTTTATTCATTATAGATCTTGAAAATTCAGTTATTTGGTCAGTGAAAAGTCAGGGAGGTTGACATTTGGCTTGGAGTGGCAACCTTACTAACCTAACCTAAACATAATCAAAACATAACCCCTGCAAATCAAAAAAACAAAAACAAAAAAAAAAAAAACTGCATCATATTTAATATATGAATGACAGTAAATCATCAAAATTACCAAAAATGTTAAAATCTCTTCAACAACAGTACTAGAAAAAAATGTAAAATTTCAAATTTTATCGATTGACACAATAAATATTGTATATGTTGTAAATATAATCAATATTTATTCATTATAGATCATGAAAGTATTTTTTTATTTATTTATTTTTTCAGTTAAAAGTCAAGGAGTTTGACATTTCTCTTGGAGTGGCAACTCTACTAACCTAACCTAAACATTATCAAAACACAACCCCTGCTTACCCAAAAAACAAACTGCATCATATTTAGTACATGAATGACTGTAAATCATCAAAATTAACAAAATGTTAAAATCTCTTCAACAATAGTACTAGAAAAATCATGCTAAAATTTCTAATTTTAGTGATTGACACAATAAATATTGTATATGTTGTAAATTTAATCAATATTTATTCATTATAGATCATGAAAATTCATTGTTAGTGAAAAGTCAGGGAGTTTGACATTTCTCTTGGAGTGGCAACTCTACTAACCTAAACATTATTAAAACATAACCCCTACTAACCCAAAAAACTAGACCACATTTAATACAAAAATGACTGTAAATCATCAAAATTAAAACAATGTTAAAATCTCTTCAACAATAGTACTAGAAAATCATGTTAAAACTTTACATTTTAGAGATTGACACAATAAATATTGTAAATGTTGTAAATATAATGAATATTTTATTCATTATGAATCTAAATATTCATTATAGATCATGAAAATTCAGTTGTTTTTTTTGTCAGTGAAAAAGTCAGGTAGTTTGACATTTCACTAGGAGTTGCTACCCTACTAATCTAACCTAATCATTATTAAAACATAACCCCTGCTAACCCAAAAAACAAACTACACCACATTAATACAAGAATGACTGTAAATCATCAAAATGAACAAAATGTTAAAATCTCTACAACAATACTGGAAAAATAATTGACAATAAATATAGGACATGTTGTTAATATAATCAATATTTATTAATTATAGATCATGAAATTCATTTCGTCACCTTTATATTTTTAAATATTATAATAGATAGAGAATTATAAGGCTCTATCTGCTTTCTGAATGATTTTGAGATATTGAGCTTCAAAGTTTGTGCATTCCATAGCAAACAGTATGTGTGCAACATTTGTTTTTTAAATAAAAAGTCCTAAAATGTAAACAAGTTAT